AACGGCAAGGGCCGGTTGTCAACAGGCGGCATCGTATACCATCTTCCTTCTTCGTCCACTGTTTCAACATCAAATCCAGTCCTGACATCGTCAAGGCCATGGGTGCTGACAGAAATTTGTCCCCTTTTTCGAACAAAGGCTTGGTAGAGATAGTCATTGTGCAAGCAGATTGTGATTGGCGGCGGTGATCGTCTCGTGGCTAAAGAATGAGCAAAGAAGCAACCTAGATTGCCCATTCCGAGGATATGCACTCGTCCTGACAGAGGGGCATTGGTATCATGGTTGACCTCATGCAACTCTTCCTTCCATGTTGAGATAAATCGTGTGTTTGGCCCGCCATAGACCTGGAACCGGGAGCGAAAACATGTACCAAGGATGCTAGTTCGCCATAAAGAGCGGGGACGAAATGTCGACTGCATTCTGAGAGCGTTGAGGAAAAGCTCCCCGGTATATCGGATTGAGTTGCAAGTATGTGTTTGGCGATGAGAGTAGGTTAAAACGATAGGTTTGACGAAGTATCGATTCTTATGTCATGGGTATTGTCAAATAGGTAAGAGCCCGGCGGCTGGTGTGTCCACCAAGGCCTATTTTTGTGCAATCAAGCAATTGTTGGATATGCGCGTGTTCTCGGCGATCTCAGTTGCGCAGATGATAATCGGTCCAGAATCCACACCGCCCGCTTTTACCGCCCGAGTTGAACCCGCCTTACTTTTTTCTTAGATCAAGCAATTTCTCATCTACACCACATCTCACCGTCATGGACCCAACAGACCTGCTACCGCTGCTTGAGCAGCTGGATGACAATGTCGATGATTTGGAGGGAGTTCTCCAGCCTCTTTTGGCCAGCACACTCCTCAAAAACTCAAACAAATTGCCAGTTATGGACAAAGCAAAACTTCACGTGTTGATCACCTACACACTAGAATCACTAATATTCTGTACGTCACAACACAAAATTCCAGCTTTTGCTTATACTAATAAATTGGACAGCTTATCTGCGGCTTCATGGCGTGGATGCGAAGCAGCACCCGGTGTTCCGGGAACTGACCCGTGTGAAGCAGTACTTTGAAAAGATCAAGGCACTGGAGACTGAGCCTGAGGAACGCTCTATGACCCTTGACAAGGCAGCTGCGGGCCGATTTATCAAACATGGCCTTGTAAGTGTTGACCTGTTTCATGGTATTATAATGACTACTCTAACCAAGTTTACACAGGCTGGCAATGATAAGTATGACTTGGAACGGGCAGAAAAGCAGGCGAAAGAGCGAGCCCGTGCTGAGTTCAAAGCAGCCATGCTCGCCCGCAAGAGCGTTGAGGTCTCGAAAGCGCAAGCCAGCAACAATTCCGACGACGACGATTCTGAAGGGGGTGTGGACATTGCAACAGCAGCAGAGCCTCAGGCTGACACAAATCACCCCGGAAAGACCGAGAAGGAAAGCAAAAAGAAATTCAAGGGAGAGCACAAAGCAGAAAACAGCAAGTCAAAGAAAGAGAGGAAAATCAATAAGGCGACACTGAAAGAAGAGAAGAAGGAGCGCCGGCAGAAGAAGGAGGACTCCCGAAAGGCCCGCAAAGCCCAATGATTGCATTGCGCCTCAATTTTGGTGGAAACTAAGTACGGACTGCCTTGCGCCTCGAATACTAAGGACGGACTGCCGAGCGGTCTCAAAACATAGCATTGGCTATGCGTCATCATTACCAGAACCTCTGTCGACATGACATGCATTGTCGAATCTAATCATCGCTCTGCAAAACCTGTCCGGCCCTGAGCTTCCATTTAGATGGATGTCTCGGCCATCTCGAGACCACAATGAGTGGCTCTATGTACTACTATGTATGTACGAGACTTGGATGTCTCCATGAATCAAGATACCCTTCCGCAATTCTATGCACAAGCCAGTAGACGGAACCAGCTGCTTCTTTTGCTTCTTTCCATGATATAATTCGCGCACATGTATTCTATTGCTTTTAATAGCACATGCTAGTAAGTCCCGTGGTAAACCCGTTCCTGACTCCGCGCCGGGCAACCGGCACCGTAATGTCCGATCCACGTGACAACCTTCCACCAATCAACATCCACGAATCTCCAAGGTTTGCATCGGAGTTTGCCTCAGTGGCCGAACTTACTCATCTTCTAGCTTCTTCTTTCTCCACTAGCACTTATACTTATATCTACCTTCTCCTCCCTTTTACATTCGTCCAAACAAACCCACACACAACCATCAAAATGCCTCGTCAACAACGCCGTGCCGCTCCCACCCCTGCGCGCAGCGCTCCCAGCCGTCCTACCGCCGCTCCTGCTCGGCCCGCGGCTGCTCCCTCGCAGCAGCAGTCGCAGCCTCACTCGACCGCCGCTCAACCCCCACAGGCCCAGCAGGCTCCTCCTATGCAGCAGCAGAGTGCCGGCCCTGGACTCTTCGGCCAGATGGCCTCGACCGCAGCGTAAGTTCGAATCCCGGCTTCGTGTTTCGTTCCCCGATAAAATCCGGGGTTAGGATCGACTTTTTCCGGAATATGTGCTAACAGTTATTTTCCATTCAGTGGTGTTGCCGTCGGCTCTTCCATCGGCCACGCCATCGGTGGCTTCTTCGGTGGTGGCTCCAGCGCCCCCGCTGAGGCCCAACAGGCTCCCCCTGCCCAGTCCCAGGCTATGGACAACGGCCTCTACCAGAGCAACGCTTCCCAGACCTCGTACGAGAACCCTGCCTGTGAGGTTGATGTTCGCAACTTCCGCACTTGCATGGATGAGAACCAGGGTAACCTCGGCATTTGCGGTTGGTACCTTGATCAGCTGGTATGTTTACACTTGTTTTATTTCCTTTTTTTTTTTAAAAAAATATGTACTAATGTCCCGCAGAAAGCTTGCCAGGCTGCCGCTAAGCCCTACTAAGGGTTTGATACCAATTTGACCCTTGGTGGTCAGAAAGACAGATACCATTTTTAGTAATAAGTGATGGGGTCTATGGGCTTATTGTTCATAGCCAATCTTTCTTTTGCATAGCCATTTCCATATTGTACTTTATACCATCTCTCCTCGATAAAGGAATCAATGCTTGACTACCGAATCAAGAATTTAACGAATTTCCTACATTTGTAGTTATCTGATTATGGTTTGGACTAATGTCTGTGTCAAATCCAGATGCGATTAAAATGGACGCTCAGTAATTTCATGGACAAGGTCAACTTTACAGCAATCAAAAAGTATAGTGTAGCCAGAGTGTCATAGTACAGAGGCTAATCCATCCGATCCATGAACGCCATAAAAATAATGCAAGAACACCAAAGCAATACCGCTAGGACTTATTTATCCTTGTCATCTTGGTTCTTCCGTGGCTCGAAGTTCAACTAAGAGATATGTTAGCCAAACCTGAACAAGATATTCTCGATTAGCATCACATACCTGGTTCCCATTGTAAAGCTGACTATTCCCACGTCCATCTTGCTGATCTCTCAGCGTCCGTATATTGGGTCCTGTGGTCCTAGGGCGTTGAGAATTGCCAGTAGCCGGAGAGGGCGAAGGGGTGGATGCACCGCTTGCTGATGCGGTTGAGCCATATCCAAGGAATGAACCCACAAGATCTGTTGCGGTGCTGGCAGCAGAAGAGGCCAAGTTGTAGATGGTAGAGATACCACGAACAGGCAAGCTATCCGCTGCCGAATAGGCCTCCGTGTATGTTGATACAGGGACCATGACCAGATTCGCGGTGGAACCGAGGCCTAAGTCTCGGAGAGTTTGCGATTCCTGGGTGACGGAAAGAGTTTCACTGGGGAGGGGGGTTAAGATATGTTTGAGGTTGTAGGGTCGGTTATCGCCTTCCATCTTCTGATCAAGCCAAGCCCGTACATCATTTCGGATGCTCTGAGTGGGTGTAAAACTAGATCGCACGGAGCTTCCATCAAACAGGCGCACTTGTAACCGGTACTCGGTTGGAGGTCCTCGAGGGACAATAGGTTTTGGCTCTTGAAGTTCGCTCTTTAGAATACCCTTGTCAGTGGGCTTCTTAGACCCCATCGGTGCTTTGCCTTTAATGTCCTTATGGCTGACTTCTTTCGATAATAAGTGCTTCTGAGATGTAGAGCCCACTGCTTTTGCAGGTTCTGCAGCCTTCTTGGGTAATTGTTCAATCTGTGATCGTTTCTTGATTGCAATTTCACTCGCTTGCTTTGCGGATATGCTGGCATTGGATGGCGCCTCGGGCTGGGGTTGGGGCGTGACTGACACCGGCGTATTATTAGTCGAAGCGGTAGGAGTGTCATTGCTTTGTATTTGTTGCGCAGGACTAGGTGTCTGTTCATTTTCCAAAGCTGCAATTAATCGACTGCGGAAGTCATCTTTCGAAATATCTGGCCCGATGTATTCCTTCAGCGTGCCATTCCTGGAACAAAGTCAGCAAACCAACTCTGAGTTGCCCACAGGTGTTGAACGGTTAAGCGCACTTAATAAGAATGACAGTTGGAAACTTTGAAATCGGACAAAAAGGAGCCAGGAATCCAGCTTCCTGTGACCCCGCTGTCAAGCGCAATACAACTGCTTTGGCATTGAGTGCTTGTGCAACCTGCATGGGGTCAGATACGGTCAGACATTCAATGGTAGTGAGTGGACGTACCTCATCATCGCCAAAATAAGCATCTTCCCATTGAGAGCTCAACTCCTCGTCATCTGTATGTTCAAGTCCCAAGATCAGCGACAGGTCATTCCATGCGGGGAGAAAACCAGCGACCTCTAACAAAGCAAGTAACCGCTTTGGCATCTCTCACTGCAGCAGCAATGCCATCCTGAAGGGATCCGTTGTAGAAAAGTGTCATGATCGCATTCCAGCAAAGACTTGGAGGACATAAGAAGGCAAGTGCGGAGAGACAAGTATAGATTGGAGAAGCGTGGGCGGTCACGATAACCCCCGATCCCGAAATTCAAACTGCCATCGCATTTGCAGCAAGAAACTCCAACTCTTACCTCGCCCAAAGCTCACCTCGTTCTTCACATTGTCTAAACCGTCAAAATGCGGCCGATATTTTCTGCTTTGCAGAAGACATCTGCAAGGGTCTGGACACTGCCAACTCGGGCTATTCGGAGCCCTCGTGTACCATCGAAGATCAATTCCATCTGCCGCCTACAACAATTCCGCCATATCTCGCAATCGCGTCAGCTGGCTGAGGGTCTGAACATCGTGGACCACCCAGCAAGGCTTGTCCGGGTTAATAAGAAACATGGGCCTGGTCTGATCATTTTGGGTGTGTCAATGTCCAATGCTACATATTCTCAAGAATACTATATTTTAGTGACTAGGAGATAATTACTAACGTATTATTCTACATATCTATAGCTCTGATTCCTATCATCTCATTTATCCTGGGAACATGGCAGGTACAGCGCCTGGACTGGAAAACCAAACTGATGGCCAAATTCGAGGACCGTCTCGTGAAGCCCCCTCTGCCACTGCCGCCCCGAATCGATCCGGATGCCATTTCGGAGTTCGATTACCGCCGCGTGTACGCTACCGGCCGTCTCCGCCACGACAAGGAAATGCTGATTGGACCCCGCATGAACGAAGGAGAGGACGGCTTTATCGTGGTTACTCCCCTCGAGCGAGAGGGACAGAGTACCGTACTTGTGAACCGGGGTTGGATCTCAAGGAAGCTGAAGGATCAAAAAGACCGGCCTTTGGGTGTACTGGATGAAGAGGTGACCGTGGAGGGTTTGCTACGAGAGCCATGGAAGAAGAACATGTTTACACCGGATAACAAACCGGAAGAGGGGATATTCTACTTTCCCGATATCAATCAGATGGCGGAGAAGAGCGGGAGCCAGCCTGTTTGGATTGAGCAGACAATGGGTAAGGAGGCTAGATTGAACTATATTGCTACCGCATGGCTAACAATGATTTGCGTTTCTAGTGCCCGACCTCCTCGTATCGTATGATCGCGAAGCCAAGGGTATTCCAATTGGCCGCGCCGCGGAGGTGAATTTGAGAAACAACCATTCTCAATACATCTTCACCTGGTAAGTTGGATCCGTTGCGTGCTTTCCCTTCCCGCTCGAGATTGTCGCTCATACTTTGCAGGTATGGCCTGTCTTTGGCCACAACCATCATGATGTGGATGGTTATTCGGAAGAACCCCAACGAGGCACTGCGCCGAGTTCGCCAGAACCGAAACTGGTAATCGGTAGTGGGATTCCAGCTTTACCTTTGCATAATTCATTGGCGTTCAAGGTGTTACTTTTCATGGAGAATTTTGTTTTGGACATTCATGGAGGCATGGCCAATCTCATATCTTGCTGAAGTTCTTTGGGTAAATGCTTCTGGGCGAGGGAAAACACTGTCGTTGAGTTGTTGATATGGCGTTGCCTGGAACAAGTCAGCAGTTATTCCTATAAAATGGTTGGCTTCCAAGGAAACTGACCTCCTCAGCAATGTGGTGACATCGCTCTCATCAATGGTCTTCCGTCCTGCATGCTTTGAATACGCAGCCAAGTCTTGGCTTGCTTGCTCAAAGTACCAAGAGGACGCCTGTTCGATCGCGGCCAGCGTGGCTTTGTTGATTTTTGCCTTTGGCCCAGCCCCCCGAACGCGCGAAGCGAGTCGCCAGCTTTTTTACCACGCCTGCCGGCAAGTTTGGGACAGGAATTCCATGTCGTGAAATTTTCTTTTGCTTGCCCTGGGCTGGGATAGCTTCATCTCGCAATCCACCTCCAACAATCCCAGGGCTCACGCTTGGTGATGCTGCGGGGGGGAAGTCGAGTCCGAAACCAAAATCAGCCCCAGCGTCGTTATCATCATCATCATCATCATCATCGTCTGGTGGAGCAGGGGGTGCCTCTGCGGTGGACAGTTCGAAATCCTCCATATCGTTCATGTCCCCGCCAGTGGGATCTTCGAGCGGAGCAGCGGCAGGAGATGGAAAGTTGAGATCAAAATGGAAGCGGCCCAGGTCTTCCGTCTCTCCCCTATTTGTGATATTAGCATTGTAACATAAACAATCCAACTCTTGTATACCCACCCTCTATCAAAGTCGCCCCCGCTCATCATTGTATCCTCTGCCTCATCATCCTCACCCACAATGCCAGTTTCATCTGCATCATCGCTCTCTAATCGTGTCTCGTCGAAATCTCCGCTGATTCTGCCAGTAGCTCGGCTCATCATCGATAACCGATCCCGGTCTCTGATGCTAGCGTCGCGAGGGTATTCGACAGACTGATAAGTCATATCCATATCCTCTTCTGCAAAGGCGAGAGACATCCTCGGGGGTGTATTTCAGGACTCGGTTCTTCGCCTTCACCCTCGGACTCCTGAATCGGCAAAGATAATCGTGGCCGCTCAATTTCCGGCTCATTATCAAGCTGTTCGAATTCATCAATTGGCTCTTCGATAGGCTCTGGCTTCTCCTGCGGCGAGGAGCGGATAGGTTGAGACACAGGAGCGAGTGCTAAGACAGGCCCAAAATAATCAGTTTAATTCCTCGTATCGAATAGTACAAGGTAAAGCCCTTACCTCTGCCTAGGTTTCTGAGAATATCGAATGTAGTCTCCCGCTGCATTCGGCCGCTTTTTCGGCGATCCCGACCAGGGGTATTCGCCGCTCGTTGTTGCCGGGCACGAAGTCCGTATGGTGTTGCTGGCGCACCTACGCCTCGAGCGCGTGGTGTGTATCGAGAGGCGGACCGCTGAGTGCCTGGGGTGGTTGCAGTAACAAGTCGACTTGGTGTAAGAGGGTAGCGTGTATGGCTAGGTAGGCGTTGTAGCTATATGTAGATGATACGGTCAGCAACCTTCAAAACTCCCAAAAACTCCCAAAAGGTAATGAATAGCACTCACTCCGGTCAGTGTTGTATCCCCAGATGGGGTAGCAGTTCCAAATGGTGACTGACGGCCACGCGCGTTTGGGGTGGAGGTAGACATGGCTTGGTTTTTTCTGCAAGAGAAGTACAGCTATATCATGTGAAATATACCAGACCACATATATGATCACCACAGCAATAAATCCCCAGATCAACTGGGCGAACAGTTAATCACAACATTGACATTCATGTTTGTCTGTCGCGTTTAGAAACAACAATTGCGGGCCAGTGCATGATTGGCCTGTGCTTATCGATAAGATTGGCTGAATCAGCCGGCTTTTTTTTTTGCGCAATGAAGTCTTCTCGATGCTACTTGCATTTACTAATTGAATATTAAAATACAAAATACTTGGAAATCTTTGGGTCAAGTTCACACTGGCTATTGTCACTATGGCCGACACAAACGCCCCCAAAGGACTTTCCAATAAGCTCCAAAACAAGCGCAAGAGACAAGCCGACGACGCTGCTCCCAAGCAAGAAAAGCCCGAGGCAGGCACACCCGCAGAGGGATCAAGCAAGAAGAAGCAGAAGAAGACCAAAAACAAAAAGAAGCAGGCTGAACATGATGAGAGTCAATCAACACGCAAAGACGGCATTGACGAGTCCATTGGCAAGATGGACGGCCGTTTGTTGGGCGATCACTTTGCGCAGAAAGCCAAAAGACATGATAAGGAGCTCTCTGCTGTTGAACTGAGTGATCTTTCGGTCCCAGGTATGTATAATTCTATTGTTCTGTCGGCCAAGGCCGAAGGGTGTTCTAGACATTAACAAATCTATAGATTCCGCATTCCTCGATACCTCTTCCTTCACCTCCATCCGCAAACTGGAGCAACTCCCCGAATTCCTCAAGTCGTTCAGTCCCAAGGGCTCCGACCTATCAAAGTCATCCGAGAAGAACGGCACCCCTCATACACTAGTCATTTCGGGTGCTGCTCTGCGAGCCGCTGATGTTGTACGGTAAGTGGGCAACTTTCAATGTTTTCTGTGGTACGAGTCGAAGCTGGAGCTGACAATTGATGTTAATAGGGCACTGCGTTCTTTCCAAACCAAGGAAAGCATTGTAGGCAAGCTGTTCGCGAAGCACATCAAGCTGGAGGAAGCGAAGCAGTTCCTTCAGCGTGCTCGGTCTGGTATTGGGGCTGGTACCCCAACCAGAATCTCTGATTTGATCGAGTCAGGTGAGTTTGCTCGATTGCTATCTATAGATAGCTCTACTTGTTCATGTATACAGATGCTGATAATTGGTCTTCTAGGAACTCTCAACCTGGAGGAGCTGGAGCGCATTGTCATTGATGGATCACACGTTGACCAGAAGCAACGAGGCATCTTTGATATGAAGGACACGCATATGCCGCTGTTGAAGCTGCTTACTCGGCCGGAACTGCGTGAGCGCTATGGGGTGAAGAAGGGTGTGAAGATCTTGGCGTTCTGATCTAATACACTGATCATGAACTTTTATACTGGTATATTATTCGAGTACATGCAAAATTGAATGGATGTATTCATACAGTTGTTTAGCGGTGGTACGTAGTTCGTACTAAGTAACAAAAATTGCGAACTATAAAAACCAGGGCCTTATCGGGAAGCCTATCTTCACCGCCTCCCGAGAACGGCAAAAATTAAATTTCACTTTTCTCTCCGCCCGACTTTTTTTTGGAGCTTGAGTCTCGTCGCGCTGCAAACTTCCCCACCTCTTTCTTGTTTTCCTAAATATCCCAAGACTTCCACTCGTCTTGTTTTCTCACCCATCCCACCATTGTCCCTCTTCACCACAAATATTACCCCACACAAACCACTACAATGGGCGATAAGCGCAAGCTCGTGCAGGATGAGGTTGTCGAGCCTGAGGGCAAGAAGATGAAGAAGGAGAAGAAGGACAAGAAAGACAAGAAGGAAAAGAAGGAGAAACGCAAGGTGCAGGAGGAGTCCGAGGTTGTTGCTCCCGCCGAAACTGCTGCCCCGGCACAGGAAGAGGTGAAGGAGAAGAAGGACAAGAAAGACAAGAAGGAAAAGAAGGAGAAACGCAAGTTGCAGGAAGAGTCTGATGTTGTTGCTCCCGCCGAAACTGCTGCCCCGGCACAGGAAGAGGTGAAGGAGAAGAAGGACAAGAAGGACAAGTCCGAGAAGAAGGAGAAGTCTGAGAAGAAGGACAAGTCCGAGAAGAAGGAGAAGTCCGAGAAGAAGGAGAAGTCCGACAAGAAGGAGAAGCGCAAGGCCGAGGAGCCCGCCGCCGAGCCTGCTGCTCCCTCCGAGGACGCCATGGATATTGACGTGACCCCTGCGGAGAGGAAGGACGCCAATAAGAAGGAGAAGAAGGACAGGAAGAAGGAGAAGAAGGCGAAGAAGGAGAAGAAGGAGAAGACCGAGCCCGTGGCTGAGACCGAAGAAGAGCCCGCCGCTGAATCTGCGGAGGCCGAGCAGGCCCAGAAGAGCTCCCGTTTCATCTGCTTTGTCGGTAAGTGATTACAACCCGATGGACTACCTCGAGCCGAGGACATAGGATTAACAAAGCATATACAGGCAACCTTCCCTACTCCGCCAACCATGAGTCCTTGAGCAAGCACTTCGAGAAGAACCCCCCAGCCACAATCCGCGTCGCAACCAAGAAAGAAGACCCCAAGAAATGCCGCGGCTTCGCATTCATTGAGTTTGACAACTACGACCGCATGAAGACCTGCCTCAAGCTGTACCACCACTCCACCTTCGACGACGGAAAGTACCCGCCCCGACGCATGAACGTCGAACTGACGTGAGTTATCCCTCCCCAATTGGAAAAGATGATCCCCATTCCCGAGTCTCCTCCAAGAAAGAAAGCCCAATTGCAACCACAGACTGTGTACTAACTCTCAATTGCAGTGCTGGCGGCGGCGGCGCGAAGTCCGAACACCGCAATGCCAAGATCCAGGCCAAGAATGAGAAGCTCAATGAGGAGCGTCAGCGCCAGGCTAAGGATATCCAGAAGGACAAGAAGAAGCACGACAAGAAAGCTGCTCCGGCTGGCGGCTCCGGTGCCAACGCTGCTGGCTTGGACGGCGCGGCTGATGACGCTGTCAGCGCCGCTGACAACGATCAGTGGGCTGGTCTGCACCCTAGCCGCAGAGGCCGTGTTTAAATCCACAAAGGCCGCTGATTCACTGCAATGGTCTCAACTTGTCGGTGGGTCGGAACAGTGTACAGCAAGGTGTCCGGAGCATCTGCAGGCAGCTGGACATTTTGATAGCCATGCATTCCCCGGAGCATCAGGGTTGGCCTGCTTTTTTCTTCTGTTCCAAAAAGTACTTACTTCATGTCTCTATTGCTTGATTTTGAAGATACCAATTCATATGTTCTTTTCTGTGATTCGTTCCCTAAATATCGCTCTAGTGGATATATATATATAGTATGGCATGAACTACAGGTAACTTAATGACCAGGGTATATAATGTCGGGATCAAGAACATCGCAATTGAATTGGGACAGACTATGAACAAGGGGCCAAGAGGGCAACAGAAAAATATTCCCAAGAAAAACGGTCAATGGATTTCATCACAAACACAGCACTGAGAGGCCGGCGAAATTAAAAAAAAAAAGCCTCTAACTACCCAGACGCCGTATTAACTATATATTATTCATTATAGCATACGAGAACATGGGGAGACGAGTCAAGCCGAACAAACCTGCTCTACAAGATATTGCATTTGACTGCCTTCCTCCCGGATTTCGTAGCGGGACGGGGATTGAGAACGGCTCTATGGGACGGTTAGAAAGAAAGAAGAAAAACCCCCGGTTTGAACAGACAGTCTCCCCGGGAAAGAGAGTAAAAAACGTACCGGATGGCTTCATCAAACACGCTCTTCAGGTTGCGCTGCGTCAGCGCCGAACATTCAAGGTACTTATGTGCGCGAATTTCCTTGGCGACAGCCAGTGCTTGTTCGTAGGAGACGGTCTCCATCTTGCGTGCGCGGAGGGCTTCCGTAGTCGCCCGGTCGTCTCTCAGATCGAGCTTGGTACCGACGAGGATGATGGGGACATTGGGGGCGTGATGTTCGATCTCGGGGAACCACTAGAATGGGTGGGATATGGTTAGTCGCATTGGAATGAATAGGAAGAGGCTGGTAAGATCTCTCTTGTGTATATTCGAGGCGGTTCGTACCTTCGCTTTGACGTTATCGAATGATGGTGGGCTGACGATGGAGAAACAGATCAAAAACACGTCTGTTTGCGGGTAGGATAACGGTCTCAGACGATCGTAATCCTCTTGTCCAGCGGTATCCCACAGTCCCAGGCTGATCGGCCGGCCGTCAACCATAACACTGGCCGTGTAGTTGTCAAAGCTGTAATGGGATCAATGTCCGTTCGGGATTTTTCAAGGTTTTTCGCATTGAGGGGCAGTGGGTACGAACACAGTAGGGATGTATTCACCGGGGAAAGCATTTGTTGTGTACGAGATCAGAAGACATGTCTAGGAGAAGTAGAAATTGGATGTTAACAATCTATCGCAAGATTATAGTAGGGATGGGAGTTGTTTTGGGGGGAGGGATGTACTAACTTTGCCAACTGCACCATCACCAGTCACCACACACTGCAGGTATTGTCAATTCCAGCGCATGATTTGTAGATCTCCTGGGATGCCCACCTTCAGTGACTGAGTAGCCGGACCCGTCGCCATGTCGCAAAAAAAAATAGACCAAATCAAGCGGAGTTTCAACAGGGGCTGTCGTGTTGGCGATAAGACGATAACGGAAGGACACAATGGCAACAAGGGCAACAAGGGTATCTTCCGAAATAATTAGCTTTAGCTTCAGGGGGATAGGGAAAGAAGCTAGGAGGCTGGAGCTAAGGAAAAGAGGGGGTGGGAAAGATGTGGAGACTCAGAATGAAAGATGAAAGGAAGAACAAAGAGAACTCACCAAAAAATCAACAAAAAAAAAAGAAAAAGAGATATTAAATGGGATGAGAAAGAAAGAGAGAGAGAGAGAGAGAGAGAGAGATAGTCAGTCAGTCAGAAAGGAGAAGAAGAAAAAAAAATAAGAGAAGACTAGTTCCCCTAGTTCAAGTAATAAAATAGTTTATGAAGAGAAGAGATTCAAAAACCCTTATAAGTCGTCTCCACTTTATTTCTAAATATTGAATATGCGTATTAAATAGATATATAAGGATATATATAAGGATATATATAAGGATATATATAGGGATATATATGTTGTATATAAGGATATAACCTTGGAAGGATATCTTGATACCCTTCCCTTTCTTACTTCCTCATATCTTGGTAATCACTAATGCACCAATCGCATGACAATCGAATCACGAGTGACACCGGCACATAATCATGGGCGTCTATTTAATATCGAATCATTATGTTTTATAGGGAACCAGGGTGCATATGCATGGGCCATCAATTGATCCTATTTATATCTACCCAACCACTCCCTCCCAGACATCACCTCCTAAAAAAGAGAACACACAGACACCTATAATCGCGATACGCCCCTCGAACCATTCAGGAACCCGCCTGCCCTGATCTCCGCCGGTTTCATTAACAAAGTGGATAATTTTTTGGAGAAGGTTCGGAAATAAGGCGATTTGACGTGGGTCTGGATCGCCGTCTGGTTTTTATACCTATTTGAAAAGAGCCGATCAGAATCTGTGGTTGGAAATTGGCAAAAGATACTCTTGCGAATCAGATTGTGCGGCCACGGCCTCCATGCGGGGGAGAGTCATCTGTGAGAGACGACCCTATATCGATACCTCAATGGTTGACTTACCTCTCAACAATCACAATCTCATTCTTGGCCTTGATTTCAAATGCGTAGTAGACTAGTGTGTCTGGCTCATGTTCTTGCACTTGTTTGATGACGTCGGTTACCAGAGTCGCTACCTAGAGGATAACCCAATACGGTTAGATATTTGGACTGTCAAGGAGTATGAGGCTGAACTGACTTCTTCAAACTTCTCTGGCTTGGGAATGAAAACTGCGGTAACGTTGATTTCGGACATATTGACCTGTTGAGTTGTCAGTGGCTGAGGTTAATAAGGAGTATCAGTAGCATTAATAGAACAACCTACTTTTTCAATGTAAACTCGATGATATTCAAGTATCTTAGATTGGATATTGGAATAATAGGATATAAGAGTTAAGAGTTAAGAGTTAAATATGTAAATGTAAATGTATTGGAATGCGGATCATATAATCCATCTAATCCACCCGGATATCAACCTCGGTCCATGGCAAGTGGGGCAAGAAGTCCATACATACAACATCGTTAACTAACTATGGGCATGTATTCCACAGATATATGGCTGTCGTATATTGAAATATCAGTTATCACTCTATATTCTTCTTTTACTCGGTGATAGTTATCTAATTCAACTCGAATATAAAGTTAAAAACTATGTTTATGTGTTTTTGTTTGATATACACTTTGGCCGATAGTAAAGCAATATGCAATATGAAGTCTCCAATGTCTAGTAGTAACAATAACAATAACTGTATAGTATATAGAGAGTGTTGTATATGTGAATATGTTGTCTATTCAGCTTCAAGAAGCCCTGGAGAAATTAGTTACTTACATCATCAACTACTGCCTCAGGCATCAGCTGAATCAGCAACCGCCGAGATTCGTCTCAGGGTCAAATCTCCCGCAAATCACCGTCGCCCCTCAGCAGACAAGCCCCCACCACCGACCCCTTCAGCGGGCCGATTTCTCCGATTTACGGCACATGGACTCCACGAGCACTTGTTCACGTTTCGTGGGGTTTTATACCGGCTGAACGCAGGCTGATCTCGATGGATTTGGGGTATCGGAACATACTGGCACCGGATGGGCCACATTACTCAATCCCGCCCAGCGACTTTCGGTCCCCCACACTACCCCGACCACCCCCGGTTATCGATTTCATGCAGAGAAGTTCGGAATCTTGCGAGATGGAGAAGGCTCCGCCTGTCACAGGCAAGCGCCGAGGTGGCAGTCGGAAAGCCTGTAATGAATGTAAGCAGCAAAAGGTGAGTCATGTGCATATAGTACTATGCAATTTTACCCAAGCCAACCCCGACCGTATCGGTTATCCGACAATCGCGCTGATGTCTCAAACCTTGATAGCTGAGATGCGATATTGTTCAAACGCCAGCTGCGGCATGTTCGCGTTGTCGTAGACTTGGAATAGACTGTAAAGTTGAACAGTCGTTCAAGCGTATCTCTAAGAGAAGGTAAATCTTTTTTTTCCCCTCTCATGTTTTATGTCTCTCTCTCGTGTCTTATTGACCCTATTTCACAGGCGCAATGCTGAAATGGAAAAGGAGATTGCGGATCTTCGCCGTCGCCTGGGACCTAATTCAGATCATGAGCAAGGTGTAGAGCCTCAAGAGTCTCATGGAGGCGATGAAATGTCCCATTGCTCAGAGGATGTCTTTGCTCGCCGTGACTCGGCCGCCATTGACCAATCTCGACCTGTTTCGGTGCCGGTTGAAACCCACTCATCTATGGCAACTCCTTTGACTATGAAAAGGGATGGTTCTATCATATCACAGGATGAGGGCCAGTGGAGACTGGAAGATGTTTGTCTCTCTAAAGCCCGGGTTCTTCGATTATACGAACAGTATGCGCTCTTCATTTCTTTGGCCCGCTTCTCCGATTAACATCCGTATAGATACTTTACTTATTATCACCCCTTTCTTCCTCTTTTGAATCCACCCAAGCCCCCGGAGGTGTATCTCAACCGATGCCCTCTTTTGGCGTGGACTATGATCTGTGTTGCGAGTCGACGGTCTCAATATGAGCCTGGGCTCTTGAGCGCACTGTCCGGACCATTTAGCAGGCTGCTTTGGTCCACCATTACCAGTGTCCCGCAGGACTACCGGGTGGTCAAGGCCCTTTGTGTTCTGTGTACATGGCCTCTTCCGACTACAAGCCAGCGCACTGATGCAACCTTCATGCTCAGTGGCTTGATGATGCAGATTGCTATGCAGCTTGGACTACACCGTCCGGTCCAAGCGGAAGAGTTCACAACATTCCGCATGGAAGTTCAAGGTGAAGCTCTAAAGGATCGATTACATACCTGGGTCATTTGCAACATTGTGGCTCAAAAGTGAGTATTTCCCTTTCGATATATGGCCGCTTATCACAGACTGATTGAGGATTCGGCAGTGTTGCGACTGGTTACGGCCAGCCCCCGAGTACAATATACGACTGGGCCCTTGAGCCTGCCTCTTTGAGGGATGCTGATTACCGGCTTCCCGATGATCTGGCCACTCGGTTGCGTATCGAAAAGTTCTGCGACCGGGTGACCAAGGCATTATACAGCAGTAAGCCCGAACCTGCGGAGTTCATCAGTGTCGACAAGCTTGTGGTCGTCCAGGTTTTGGAAAGTGAACTCAGAGACATGGATGTCGAGTTTGACGGGAAAATCTCCGGTAGGTCTTTGTCGTATTATTCGAATTTCGCACCGCTCACACTCGCACTAAGCAATCAACACTATCCATCTCCGGGCCGCAGAACTGCACTTCCGATACTTCATGTTTTTGGGGTCCACTGCACGAAGCGACGATCTGATCAAGCTTTTCCTTGCGACAACCTCCTTTCTTGGTCGAGTACTAGACCTCGAAACATCCCCAGGTGAAGTGATCGGCCACTCCACCAACTATATTCTTCAAATGATTGTATCCGCCGCTTTTGCTCTCATGAAATTGTTGAAGAGCAGCTTCAGTCGACACCTCGATTTCAATCATGGCAAGCTACTGTTCAACGGTGCGATCTCAGCAATTCGCCGAATCAGTGTCATGGATCACGACCGTCCCATTCGTCTTGCAGACATTCTAGCTCAGATGTGGAATGCCACGAGTTTAGAGCCAGCCGAAGAAGATGCCCTACAGCTTAAAGTCCGCTGCCGGATGAGCATGAGCCATGTCTACGACACGGTCTGGCGTTGGCGACAACGGTTCCGACCGGTCAAAAGCCTCGAGGAAATGCAAGGTAGGTTTTCTTTGCTTTCCCCCTCCTTTGGTTATTTTCTTGCAGTTTTTAACAAATGTCTTCTCATAGCTGCTGCCATAGCAGCGAACCAAGATATACTAGGTCCGGCAGGACACATGACGCGTCAACAGCAGGATAGCTCCCTGGAGGATCAATCTCTAATGATGCCAGCTCAGTTTGATGAAGGCGGAGCATTTTTCAGCGAATCTGGTTTCTCGGAAGTCTTTGATTCACTCAATTGGGTGTTTGATGGCATTCCCGACTCTTTCGTCGCACCTCCGGTTTTATAGATTCCAATTACTGCGATTACGGGGGTATTGTAGGTGTTGTTGTTTTTGTATAATGTTTGATATTTGATTCCCAGCGACGATACCAGAATAAAAGTGATATTTACTGTTTTACTGTATGCTACAAATAGAACATAAATATACGTCCAACTATACGTCCAACACAAAGTGAAGCCCAAGATCCACTGTGGCTGAACCCGCCATTACGTCTTGACCCTCCAAGAATAAATCCACCTACTTTGTACGGAGTACAGCCTAAGGACATTCCTATAGGTTCATGCTATTTCGGCCCAAGTGAAACTACCGAAGGCAGGCTGCAGCATTTCTTGTTCCTGGACCTCATTTTGATCGGCTCCTAACCGCATCTCCACTGATACATAAAAGGTGTGGCCCTTAAGGCTTTCCGTTCCCCCTCTATTTAACTCCTCCTTCTTGACATTCACACAAGTCAAGA